TATGTTGGAGACAAAACACTGTCAGTGCTCCTGTTACGATCAGCAAGCCTGAACACAGAGTACAGGTACATTTCAATGCCTTAGAAATTTCTATTGCATAGACATTTTATTTTATTTGACTTTGACCTTTGACTGTACTTATTATTTATGTATTTTTGCATTTAAAAAAATGTTTTCGTTCAAAAATGTCATTTTAATATGGCACATAAATAAAGTCAAAGGGTTTAGTTTTTTGACAGATGACCACTTCCTTCTGTTTTTTCACTTTTTAATATTTTATTGTTGCCCATTAATAAAACAAAAGTATTTCTTATCCCATTACATGATGGAATAATTACTCGATTACTAAAATAATCAATAGCTGCAGCCCTACTGAAAAGAGCTTTCAAAGACTTAAAGGTGTGACCCAATACTTTTGTCTGCATAGTGTTTGTAGAATTGAGGAAAACAACTGTGGGAACAGGTTTCTCTCGGGGAATTACCTGCACTACAAGGGTATACTGTTATTTGTTAACACTTTCACATACGCTGTTCTTTTAAGATCCTACATATGCTGCTTTTTACATTTACCGGTCAATAACATATTTAGCTGCAAAAGGTTATCCAGCAAGAGAACAGGGATAGAGCTGGACTGGCACTTCAGGCAGTATAAAGCCTCAATGCTGGACATCTGATTTATCAAGCCTCACCCAGTTATCTATGGGCTGCTCAAAGATGCAGTGGCCAGCAGAATGGCTAATGTAGGACAGGGCATAACTAAGGCTGTCCTCATGTTTAATGATGATGAATATTTCAAAGCACACTCCTCCACTGCCTCTATTTAAAACTCGACTTAGCAACAGACCTTGAACCAACTGGGTTCACAGGAGGATGAACACCTATTCAACCTACTGAGAAACTAAGCCAGACTAAGATATTGATGTAAAGGAGGAGGCAACAAAAAGATTATTGAGATAAAATGGTTGAATACTTTGCACTAAAAGGGACTAAGAATGAGTTCACTTGGTAGATTTTCCACTGAAACGCCAACAGTCAAGGGCTTTGCTTTTGAATGCAGAGCTTGCATTCTGACCTAAAGCTAATGAGGGATGTCAGTGTTTTACAAAAACGGCTGCGTTAATAATGTCAGGAGGCTGACTGCAGTGATTATATTGGACGCCAGCTCTGTTCTGGTGCTGTGCCTACGTAACCATTGAAACACTATGAAAACACTAAGAATACAGGTTTGGACAGCTTTCTTAATACATTTAATTCATTTTAAAAGCATATTTTATATTTACTTATGCTATCTTTGTCTAGAATAAAAATTGGTTTGATGATCTGAAACATGGAAGTGTGATGAATCTCCAAAGAATTTGAAATTAGCAAGGAGGTAAATACTTTTTGACAGCAGTATGAACAGATGGATGAAGTTGCTAACCTCAAGAAATCCTCCCAGTGGCTAGAAAAGACTTATTTAAAAGACACTACAGATCCAGTGATCACGGTAGCACAAGAACAGCACCACATCCATAGGGGCAGAAGCCTACCACAGCTGACCTCTATCTTGGAGAACAACCACTACACACTGTCCATGTCAGTTTTGATAAGCTAGCAAAGTTTCATTTGTTTTCACCTTCCAGACTGTACTTAGTTTGTAATTGAAGTATAAACAGGGCACCAACTCTGAGAAAAAAAGACTATGGAACCCAATGACAGGTTCATCCATCCATCTTCTTCTGCTTTTCTGAGGACGGGTCGCGGGAGCAGCAGCCTAAGCAGCTTGTCCGGGGGAACACCATGCTTTCCCAGGCCAGCCAAGAGATATAATCTCTCCAGCGTTTCCTAGGTCTGCCCCGGGGCCTCCTCCCAGTGGAAGGTGCCCGGAACACCTCACCTAGGAGGCATCCTTGTCAGATGCCCGAACCACCTCAACTGGTTCCTTTTGATGTGGAGGAGCAGCGGCTCTACTCTGAGCCCTCCCGGATGGCTGAACTGAACTGAAGGGAGAGGCCAGCCACCCTTCGGAGGAAGCCCATTTCTGCTGAACCCATCCCTGACCCGGAGTGGGCTCTCCACCCTTTTCTGGCCCAATGAAAGGTGCTATATGCACTGATGTGGACACTAAGTCAACATCAGTGCAATATCATCAGCAGAAGACAGCTACGATCAAAGCTGGAGATTCAAAGGCAACAGCACAGTGAAAACAATAGTGAGAATAATGGACAAACATTCTCTATACACACACACACACACAACTATATATATATATATACACATATATAAATATATATATCGTATCAGGGGGCGTTGGGGCTTAAGAGGTTAATAGCATTGTTTCTTCCTCCCCTCAGCAAGTATTGCTAGTCTATCTATCTCAACTTCCTGTTAAGCACACTGCTTTTTGCTGTTTTCCCTCAGAAGCTCAAATTCTAGCGCTTTTCAGTCTGTGTCCAATCTATATCATTTCAGTCTATACCAAGCATAGAACAGCAGTTCCTTCATTACACATAAATGACTATTGTATGGAAAATATTGCATGTTAGTCTATTGCACACTGAAATGTGGATTGCATATAGAAATATATATCATACTGGATACATTTGATTTTGTGTGTATTTTACTGATTTTGTTTTTCGCCATCAGTCTGACTGTGGTGGGAAAGAAGCTGTTGTGGAAGCGTGTTGTGTGTGTGACAGACTGTCCACTCTGCTGCATCTCTGGCTGTATCCTGATTGTTTTGGTGCAAAGAGGGTGTGACCTGAAGCAACACATCATCAGAGACCTGACAATCTCTGATGATGTGTTGTTCTCTTTTCTTACAGCGCTCTGTGTCCACTGATGGAAGATCCGTTCATATAATCCTCTCTGCAGGCTTTATGACTCTCTGGAGAGTTTGTGGCTGTAGTGAGACTCAAAGTAGCCACCAACCAAGAACCCCCAGCTACCTGACAGAGTTTCATTAGTGGAAATGCTTGTAGATGTGAACACTGCTCTACGCACCATCCCCACTGGCAGTATCACTGAAATCTTAAGTACCTGGGTATTCCACAGGCCAGTGGGAATGATTCAAAAATACATGAAGTTCCACATTTCATGATGAAAAACAGAGCATCTGTAAATACATCAGAAAGACGGCCCTCAGAGATTGCCTCAGACAGCTGAAGACAAATGGTGAAGCTGAACAGGAAGAGGAATTCATGGACATGGACAACCAAGTCCCTGCATGGGATTACAATCAACAGATAGATGAAGTTGCTAAGATCAAGAAATCTGTCATGGTTTGTGTCTCTGTGTCTGAGGAGCGTGTGGGATGCCCCGGTGGCCACCCTCAGGCTGGGCCATCACCTTCACACCTGCATCCCACTCCAGGCGATTACCAGGAGGACTATTTAACTCTGCACAGACGGCTGCTCCACGCCAGTCCGTTAGTCACCCCTCAGTGGTAACTTGGCTCCCCGCAGAGTGTGTATCCAAGTGTTGCTTGAACTGTGTTAATTCTATCTCCATGTGCTCAGGTTACTGTCTGGTGTTTCGTACCTGCCACCTGCCTGCTTGGATCTCTGAGTGCACCACCTCAGAGTCCCACGGTCCGGCTCTGGCCAGATTGCTATAGCCCTGTCTTGTTGTGGCTCTCCCTTCCCCTGTACACAGACCTTTTCCCCTTTGTGTTGCAGCCTCCCAATGACGGCTTCCCTGTGTGCTTTGTCCTCCTGGTTTTCTTCAGTTCGGCGATTTGGCCTCCCTTGGTTGTTCCGGGTCACCTTTTTTTAAATAAATAAAACCTGTACTTGCTCACTCTGAAGCGTATTGAGTTTTCTTTTGGGTCCCGCTTGTGTGCGCGACCTGCGGTTAATGACACTTATTTGTAATTATGAAGTGTTTCTACTTCTGTACTTCTGAATTACTTTTCAATGGAATCAGACAAACTGACCTTCATTGCAGAGGGAGCCAAAAAATCCAGCGAGACATTTGCAGTGGCCGGTGATGTGGTGGCATGCCCCATCGCTGTGGACACACTGAGGACACATCAGACTGCAACGATGGCCATAGAAGCCAGGAGAACATGCTGTGGAGGAAAAATCCACATTATGGCTCATCATGTGCACTCTGTGATGCTGTGTGTACTGGGAATAGCGTTCTAGCCATTCCCTCGTCCCATGGGTCAGCCTGTTAGCTGTATTAGTTTTGATTTGTTTTTCCTTCCCACACAGGAAGGACTCATAAGTCTTCCTCTGGCCTTTAATTTGCTTTAATTGACGTAACTCTAATTGCTCTAACTGGCAAGGCAACCCTCTTCCCTCATGCTACAGGATTTTCCTCATTATGATAATTGTGTAAATTGTGAATCAAGAGAGCTTAAATGTATTACTCTGATGCCAAAAGAAGCAGAAGAAACGGTCATACAAACACACTCCATGTACTCATTCTATGAGCATCATCAGACTTGGGCTCGATTTCAAGCAGATGCAACATGAATGAGTTGCAGTTATTTTCTTAAACAAAATAAATGAACTTTAAGCTTCAGTTTCACTGGGCCATTACCATGGGAATTTAGACTCTTAATTTCAGAACACCAGCATCACCCATTAAATAAACCACCGTGTACAGGTTAATATGCAGGGTGACACACAGATCCCTAATGCTAAAGTCAGTAAAAATGGCGATATCCTTGTGGTTATTTTCACCCTGACTGAAAACAAGCCTCAAAATTGATTTCTGTACAACTCTGATGTTTTCTCCTCCTCTGAATCTTTACAGAAGAGGTGGAAGTGCCAACATAACCCACAGCATCCCTCTGGCCAGCCACGAGGACTGTTTCTGTTTCCGTAAAACAAATGCTGCGATCATTAAATTTGCTAATTAGTTCTGAAACAAATTTTACACAGACTTTATTTCAAAGACCTGCGAAGAAGTTACAAACTGGAATAACAAAGATTATCCAGTAGAAACAGTGCACCAGGTGGCAGCTATCACTTTATTCTAGTGCCGTTAATCTCGTTAAAATGACGTTAACGGCA